GTTTGAGGTGAAATCTAGAGATGTCGAATCACTAACAAAATACAGTCACAGAGTAAAAAACATAAAGTAAACTGAAAAAATAAAATAGCGAACATATTGGTGCATAAAAATCGCCTTAAATTGTTTAAAAGTGTGTGTTCTCTGAGATAATTATGGATAGTATAAGTCTGTGTAGTAAGGTAGGCGATACTATGCTACATGTATACCTGCGGCCACTGACATGACCCCAAAGCGTTTAGTATATATAATTTTGACAATTTGCTCAAGCATCAGTTGTGTTCGTCTATTTATGCTTGGTTTTTTTGTTCACAGAGCAGAGAAGGGAAGAGAATACGAAGTCAAGGTTTCACGATGTTTATGATGGAAAACAGGTTTGGTAGTTAACTCCGGAGCAAAAGTTTCAAACTAGTGTACAATAAGTAGCGCATTCGCTGCGACTGGTTTTGCTGCCTGGCGATTACTTCGAGATTCGTCTGACCATTGCACGCGCAAGCTGGCCTTCGGGCCAGGCTCTGGACTAATCCCTTTATTCTCCCTCGGATGCATGTTTACAACTTAAATTAATGTCTTTTTCTACCCGGTTGGGAGTCTCGGAACACCGCGGTATGCCTTTTCCCATAGCTGAGCTTTATCATTCAACAGTAAAATACGCGACAGAAGTCAAATCAGATCACGTTCGCTTTCCACTGCCAATGAGTTATTAGCCCAAGGCCCCTCAAAGGCCCAAAGAAGGTGCAACTCTCTAACGCAGTACATTTCGGTGAGCGGAAAAATGCAGACAATGCTGCCTCAGCAACTAACATGTAACATAGCGTATTGGCAAAGTTTTAGGTGATTCTTCGTTTTCAATTATGAGTGGTTATGCTTACTGGGGATGACGCATACAAAGCCACTTTATGAAGTTTTAAGGCATTATTTTGGACAGGATATGGAGATCTGTTTAACCTCATAGTGTACTAATATTTAGTTTAAATTATTTCGCGTTAGAATTCGGCACCAGTTTGCACGTTTTACAGTTGTAAAAATCAAACGTGTTTGTTATGTCGCGCTATTCCAAAATGGCCTGCTTGATCCACATTATGTTTAAGACAAGCCAATCGGTGGACTCCCTACTTTATGGATTAGCCAATCAAGTGTCCTCTGTGCAGCTATTTTACATTACTATCTATATAAACGGTGTGACTAAGCCTTGCCGCAACGACGCCATCTTAGATCGTCATGGGTGTTGATGTGGAAGTCATAAAGCCGGGCGATGGTACCAGTTATCCGAAGAAGGGGCAGACGGTGTCCGTTCACTACACCGGAACTTTGACCAATGGCAAGAAATTTGATTCTTCTAGAGATCGAGGCCAGCCTTTCCAGTTTAAGCTCGGCGTGGGGCAGGTGTGGTATTGCTTTGTGGTAATTTTCTTAGGTCATCAAAGGGTGGGATGAAGGTGTCGCCAAGATGAGCCTTGGTGAGCGGTCCAAGCTTACCATTAGTCCGGACTACGGCTACGGCAGTGCCGGCGCTGCTGGTGTTATTCCGCCCAACGCGACATTGATATTCGACGTGGAGCTCCTTTCTTTCAACTAGTTTCCCTGTAAATGTGGACACTGCTGTCGTGTTGTATCATCCTAACTCCTTCTGATTGACTTTCGTTGTTTTGACGTCTGGTCTAATCAGGGGGTGTCTACTTCGTTCAAACAATCTTGGATTGACTTCTCGTGTGTGGTGATCACATTTACCCTTTGTCGTTCTTGTGGTAAGCGCGGTGAGCGTCGTGTTTACTCATTTGTTGCGATCCGTAACTAGTGGCGCGTGCACTTTTGATTTTTTGTCTTAGTGTTGCTTTTGTGAAATTTGCCTTGACTCCTGACCTCTGTGTGGTGGACGGCTGCGCGGCGTTCTGTTTTTCGTATCCGCCATCTGGTCGTCCGCTTTTCGGAGGGCGGTGGGTTTGTCATAGTCTCACGTCAGTTGCTAACATGTGGGATGCGGGTCTTGGTTCGGGGTTTGCGAGGTTGTTGTGGTCGAGGTATTGAGCTTCAGGATTGTGGCTGCTAGGGTTCGTACTTAAGGTGACTAGTGACCCGTTCGATTCGGCATTTCGGTGCCGGAGTTGGGTCCCGTTAGCGCAGATACGTCGCGGTCCAGCCTTACCTGGGAGGGGGTTGCGGTGCAGCCGTATGGGGCACTCATGAATGGGCTGAGGGTAACTCTTCTCGGGTCTAGGGTCTCGAGGCGCAGGCACCTGGTGGCTGCTCCCGATGGACGCATTCATCTATTCAAGCGCTGGACTGGAGTATTAGCTTCCTATGCGCAAAGGTAGGGTGGGGTTGGGTTCCCATCAGCACGGATCTGTCATTATTCTGCCTTCTGAGAGATCTAGTGAGTTAGTTTCTCTCGTGATCTGTTCCAATGATCGGTTGATAAGTGGTGGTTCACGCACTGGGACAGTTCATGCTGGCCTCAAAGGCTAGAGTAGTGAGTGTTGATGGACCTATTCAAAAGCAAAATCAGTGGTTGAAGTTGACTTGTTACGAAGTGTACTTTTATGTCAACAACATTTGGCCATTTTTGAGTTGCTCAGAGATTCGCACCGTTTTTTTAAATAGGAAAATTTACCGGCTTTGTCATTTTGAACTCCAGCGGACAGAGTAGGTTCAAAAAAATATGAACACCTCTGGATCCACTGTGGAATACTGCTTATTTTGTGACCTAATGGAAACGGTCGATTTCTATAAATAGACGCTAAATGTAGCCATGTTGTGTGCGTTTCCTGTCGTCGCTGTGTCGCGCCAGCTAGCTTCAACATCAAATAATATCCAAGTATTGATGGCGCATGAGGTCATTAAAACAAGATCTGTCTGGAAAATAATCTCTTGGATGGTTTTGAAGCCCAAATTGGTGGCGTGAGGAGGTCACGAATCTGGATATTTAGAAAAAATGGCAAAAGTGAGGGCTGATTGAGTGGGTGCCTGTCAAGGCAAAAGGCAGCAGTGGGTTAACCGACTGTTTAACATGCGAGTTCATATTTCACTTGTGAAACGTAATTTCGATTCAGCAAGGGTCTCTCGTTGTGTGTACACTTACCTTTCGGATAATCGAGTTTTGCCAATTAGCTTGCTTAAATGAGAATTGGCACTTCTCTAGTTCTTGCAGGATAAATACCAACACCGTGGACTAAGATTTTACCGAGCTGATGGGTTCCTTTTTTAAGTGGACCGTCTATTTACGAGTGGTGGATGGTGGAAGTTTATCGCGAATGATTGACACCAAAGAATTATGCTTTGAACAGTTCTGTCAGGTTTGCAACATGCCTGTTTTCAGTGCGCAGCCCAAGGGTCTGAGTGTAGCACATTGTATTAAATCATGTGGCAAGAAAGATGGAGCTCCTCAGCCGTAGGACAAAGCAGTGAAATTTCGTATCTTGTTAGAAGCAGTGAAATGAAATGGCGACTCAGCATGTGTATTCTCCTTATTGTATTCTCTGACAACTTCATCACAGTCTACACGCGGTTAGCATGGCTAACGGCTGATGATGACTGACGTCACGCGCTGTTGTCTGCCTTAGGAATGGGCTTAAACGTGGTTATTGAATTGGAATGCTTAACTAGCTGGTTTGGTTTTTGCGTAAGGCTTTTAAAAGAAGGCTTGGCCATTAGAAGCGTCCACCAAAAGCCTACTTCGAAAGTCCACTCCATTGGAGGTTTGCCCAGGGCGAGCGACATCACATTCGTCACGATCCTGCGCTATTGGCAGTGCGTGACCGCCCAGTCCGAATAAAACTTACATCAGCGAAAGGTTGGCAAATGTCTGTAAATAGTAGCAACGTCTATTCTAACTGGTAAAGGATTCTTTTATGTCCACATAAAGTGGTAAAGAACGATGAGCCATTGTCAGCCCTTGACACGCACCTAAAATAAGATTTAAGGACTGCACATTTGAACTCTAGTACTTTTGTTGACTTCTCTAAACTTAACTCTTGCATGTGATGAGAAGTGGCTGCGGGTCTAAGGCACACACAAGTACATGTTTGGAAAGAAAGGCATCAAAACATTTCACTTTAGGAATGGAGTTTGAAGGTTGTACATTTATCATCATGCTTTACCTGTTTTTTAAGGCTGATAAGCAGTTCAAAACTTATCCACTTTGAGATTAAAATAACAAATTTGTAGCCCCTAAAGCGCACTGGATGTTACCCGTCAATGCATGCCAGCGTGACACGTGCACAGCAGCTTTCATAAAGACTGGATAAAAATGAGTGTCGGTGTCACTCAAACCAAGCACTGATGGCATTTGTTCATGACCCACTACTCTTCATTCGAGGGTAAACATTAATCGGAATGAGCAGACAGTCAATGTCAAATGTGGATGCATTCCTCTTCAACCTCTTGGACTAAACAGCGTTGCGTATGAAACACAGAAGAGCGCAACATGAAGAATTCCACTACCCAGACTAGTGATTTTCTTCACCTATCAATAGGGATTGACGAGTTTGAGGATTTAGCAAGATTGCAAGCCTCACTAGATCCTTGAAGCGAGGTCTACGCACAGCCACACCAAGCTTCTCTTCATTAAAACTAATTTCTCGAGCAAAGGTCTCCATTAACTTAAAGAATTCTGATGCGCATCTTGAAGAGCAACAGAAATAAGTGACCTGGTTGCAATCACAACAAACGGTCGAGAATGTAGCGTCCCGAGGCTTCCCAAAGGATGGAAGGAGGCCTAAGTGAGGTTGGATGCATGTAATCCGAAGACGACAGGACAAATTGGATCTGAGCGTAGCCCGATGGCCAGCCCACGTGCATAGAGGCCAGACAGCTTCTAAAGTGACCACCAAACGCCAGGTAGTCACAGAGATCTTTGATAACTTGGCGTTCGTATCGAATTTAAATCTAAATTTACCTAACAAGGGACAACTAGCCGCACTGTACGGGCGTTTGGCAACATTCAGCCACCTCGTCTCCCCGTTCCTCTGCTGTCCCTCCTCTCACCTCTATGTCTGCGTTTGCGACATTTGAGTATTTTTCAGCGCTGCCAGATAAGCGTTCGACTTTACACTTTACCGAAAAAGGAGCAAAATCTTACGCGTTTCTGTAAATAGACACCTCTGCTTTTGCAACGGCATTAAAGCTAAAAATAAAGTTAGAAGCTGCTCAGCCCTTTCGCAAATTGACCTGTAAACTTGAATCAGTAAAATGTTTTAACTTTCCCTTTACTCAAAGTGACCATTCTCAGCAGTAAGTGTCAGCACGCAGCCTATTGATGCTCCACCAATTTAGGGCCTAATCTTTTGACAGTTTGACATCTTTGATAAACTATCAAAGTGATACATGGGAGTTAATTAAACTGTTCAGAGTCCTAATGACATTTTGTTGCATGAATTACAGGTTGAAGGTGCGACTTTTGACTGCAAGATTGAACATGCCTGCTTAGGTGGAAAATCCACGAATCTCAGTGGCGTAAAAAATAAAGAAACAAGCTGAGCACAAGCACAAACGAAACAGTTGAAATCATTAAGATGACAGTTAAATTTCAAAAATCCTCCTTTCGCATTAAAATAATATCGCGAAGCTTATTGTAGAATGTGTACGTGTGTGCGTGTTAATTACACACATATCCTATCCTTTTTGAGAGTTACTTGATGCGTTAAATCTTAAAGCACCAGTGTTAGCACCTATAGACACATAGACATATGACGTTTGTACTTACTATAATTCAGTAGCATGTTTATAAAAGATTTCAAAACCACTCAAACATGCATGATTTATTATGTACAATGGTTTCATTTCGTAAAAGACGGATTTCCCTTCTCACATAAATTTAAAATAATTGAACGTTCTTCTGTGGCGTGAAATGTTTGAGTATGTGCGTCTGTGTGTGTATGGGTGACCGTGTACGAGAAGGCTTTCAATCAGTGCCTCTGTGATTGATCCGTAGAAGGAAGGTAATTTCGCAGCCAGTCAATGGGTGAGAGACTCACACAGCCCGCAACATAGCCACGAGGCGCCGAGTTCAAGACACGCGCTTGACCGGCTAGATGGCCTTGAAGGAAGCCACTCTCGTGCTGACTGATGACCACGGGTTTGGTGAAGAGGCTTGATGCGTGGGCCTGTACCCGACTACCGTAAAAGGAACCCATTTCCAGTAGTGGATAAAGAACCTTGATTTGCTGAAATTACAACAAGCGTTGCGAACGCTTTGGTCAATTGAAAATGATTCTTAGTTTGTGAGAGGATTCAGCAAAAGTGCCAATGCTTCAGCCCATTTGTCGTCAGAACTTGTTTCCTCCATTTTTTTGAACAAAATTTGCTCTCATTGACATGATACAGTTGCATGTTCAAAGTATTTCCGTTGGTATTAACACATTAAATAGGTAAGAAGTAATAAAATAATATGCCCTGAATACTTGGTGTCGCTCTCAAAAGGCGTGGATGTTTAGGATTCAGGTAAGTCAACATGACGCAACATAGAGCGCAATTCATTTCCTCTTTAAATGCACACGGCAAAGTGCCATGATATAATGCTTTGATAGTTTGTTTAAAATAGTTTCTGCCAATCCCAAAATGTTAGCGTTGTGTGCTCTGCCATGCTACGATCCAACAACATTTGAGAGAGCCTGAAAGACCGCAACGATTGGGTTAGATGGAGGGAATCTGACTGTTTCAGAAGGTCGCTTATTGTAAATGTCTCAGTGAACAATTGGTTGGGTCTTAGTCAGACCCTCAACAGCAGTTTCATTTGCCAATTTTAGTAACCCCTCAACACTCTGATTGCTTCAAACGAAGACGGAAGGGAAGCATTCAACGGAGAAAATCATATTCTATCCACTCAACAGCTTTCGTACTAGGCCTAGAAACATCTCCTCAACTAGGGAAGCAAAATGCAAACGAAATGTTAACAAGACCATTCTATCTTACTACGGAGAACTGTTACAGACACTTTGTAAGTTCATTGGTATAAACGTCCGC